TTCCAACTTTTTCTCAGTAGAGTAACCAAATCTTTTTTAAAAACGTCATTTGTCAGATATAAATGCAATCGATATTATGACCATTATGACTGGATTTCTTTGAGAAGCCAATTGTGAACGTTATCTTCAGATCTATGAAGATTAGCCGACGATACTTTTTCCCATATCTCTTGGATATCGCTGCACGATAAAGTCCGAATCTCTATAATCTGGATGATAAACTAGGCTGGAGTACCAAGGTTCAGAAACCTCCTTCAAGGCATGAATGTGCGGAGGGAAGATGGGCACCGGTTTTTATGTCTGGTTCCATCTCTTTAGGTGCATCTTTTAAACGACACCTGCGTGATGTGCGTGTCGTAAACTACACGAGTTCAACTAAGTTACTGCGTAAGTGGTACTAGACATTTACGGCCCAGAGTGATTTTATGTACTCATAAATTCACAAATATTGCATGGACCGACGTTTCTCTAAATCTTCACATTCATTTTCCCTAAGTTTTAAATCCCACTTGCTTTAGAAAAATCTACCGCATTACAGAAAAATAAAATGCATTTTAATAACTGATGTAATATAGTCATTATTTAGTAACAGCTTGAGGAGGAATACAACGATGCGACGATTGTGACCAATAGAACTATAAATGACATGCCGGATAAATTATTTTGAACCAGTGTTTGAGGAGTGAGTGCTATACGTCAAATCGTAAAAACTTTAAGAAGACTTTTTCTTTTAATACGCCGTAAATTTCATAAATGTTTTCAAAATGTACCTTTGAAAAAAATGACACAAAATTTGATCTCTAAAGCCATTCGTAAACTCTTCTAGGTAAAAGAAATATCAGGTAGAAAATATGTGGAAACATATCACTGAAAATAAAGTAACAAAATCGTAAGGGAAAATTTTCTTCTAAATAAAGATGTAAAAGGGTTGAAAGTAGATAATGCGAAAGAAATGGGAGAGTAAATATAAGATACGAAAAGGGTCAGGAAGGCGAATAGCGGCTGAGGTGACTCAGGGCATCAACTGATCTCATTTTAGTTGTCCTGACGCGGAGTTTCTAGAGTTCGAGTCCCGATTTTCGACACTAGCTCGAATTTAGCCGGTGTTTAGAGAATTCTGGCAGCTCTAATCGGTAGTTTTCCGTGGTTTTCCGATCGAATCGACTCCAGGCGAATACCGAAGCACTGCCCTGACAAACGGGTAACGGATCGCGCGCAATCTTTCCTTTCTTTTCATTGTCCTACCTTCACTCCTTACATTCACACACTCACATGCACTCCACTATCACACATGTCTGGAGACTAATCGCGAGTTTGGGGTAAAAGAAATATCTTGCTGTGCCTTGGTGGTGGGAGATACCTAGATGTGGAAAAACTCGCGATCCGACGAATAGGTCGGCATTGGATCTCACAATCCCCCGGGGAAAGATCACCTCCATCTCCCGAAATAAACACATTAACTATACTTAAGGGGATAATGTAGCACGTACGGGACCGTAGCAGATGATGCGCCAGGAAACAAAATAATTAATCAAAAAAAGACGACCGAGTGCAGATTATATGAATATGAAAATGAAAATTATTCAAAACGAAAAGAAAAGAAAAGGAGAAAAGAAGGAAAATGGGAAGGGAAGAGAAAAAAATAAGAGGAGAAGGATGAAAGGGTAATGAGGTGTAAAAACAAGAGAAAATAAATAGGGGGCGAATAAGAGGAGAATAAAAACAAGAACCAAGAAACGACGAAAAGAAGAAGAGGAGTAACAGAGAAATAGGGGATGTAGCTGGAGCAACAAGATCTCCAAGTGCCAATCCGACGGCTGAAGGGCTACGCACCAGAGTCCATCAGACGGCGTCTCCGTTACGAGCTAAAGGCGCTGTCGCCCCGCTCGTCTTCAAGCTTTACGGCAGCGCGCGCCCCACCTCCCGCACGGGCGATTGCGAGTTGCAGGGCCACGATCGTGACTGGTTGTTTAGGTTTTCGGGCGCGGCAGCAACTTTGATCATTAGGACCACTATTCATTAGTTTATCATCATATTATATAGCGCATATATATCGGCGCGGCGATGGTGTAACGGTTAGCGTTTCGGACTGTTGTACCCAAGTTGGCGGGGTCAAACCCGATCGAAGCCGTGGATTTTTAAGGGCGAAAAAATCCTTCGTACGCCTTCCTTCGGAGGCGAAGTAAAACCGGCTGTCCCATGTTACTAGATTTACTTGCATGTAAAAAATACTCAAGCCTAAAAGACGCCTCTGAGACAAATTCAAATCGCCTGTTTCTCGTCCAAGGAAAAAGCTAGTTGGTGAAAGGAGCGTAGCGAAATTTACGTGGTCAGACGGAAGAGCAGGCCTAATAGCCTGAGTCTCGCCACGTAAAATAAGGCATTAATTTAATTATCATATCATTTTTATCATATTATAATTTAGTTAAGATCATTAGTTCCATCATTAGTACGCAAGTGTTGTCCATAATATATTCCATGAGGTGTACCTTCCCCACTCGAACGTGCGATTCTGCGGCGACCTAGAGGGCGTTTGTGGGGTTTCCTTCCTCTAGGCATCTTCCCCAGCGGAATACTACCATAGCTGAAGCAAATTCTATGCACCCGGATGCGTGGTAGTGTAGTTAATATGTGTGTTTGTGTGTGAGGTGAGAGGAGGGGACAAGGATGAGCCAGTAAGGGGCATTTATACTCGTCACTTATATCATAAGGATATGCTTAAGCTATAAGAAGTTACTTTTGAAAATGAAATGCTTATGAACATTCCCTATTCATAGTCGATACTTAACATAAGCACGACGGTAGCAACATCTAGCGTGCAAACAAGCGCATTGGTTGTTTCACAGCCACTTGAATCCTGCCTGAAATGACCTATCAAGCTGGCCGTGAACTAGTCCATTGCATGAGTCTATCCGTGGGGTAATCTAACCTACACAATTACTTAAATAGTGGTAGTATGTTAAACAGTGTCTTAAATAGTGGGAAATAGGTCTACCTCTATGAGTTATAGTTGGCTTTCGCCACCAACGACACCAAAACATGTACTATCGTCTGGGTAAAACTATATCTTTTCTTAAATATTCTTGATCGTTGTACATTTCCGGAGGGTTTTACGTATCACGTAAATATAGCTAGTTGCCACGAATAATGGTGCCACTATAGAAATTCTTATAATCTTCAAATCAAATCATCATCTACTTCTATTTTATTTACATTTGTACACCATAAAAGGGCTAACTTAAAGCAATAAGTTAAGGGTGCACCTTCCTTATAGCTAGGAGGAGTTCATAAAGTGCGCGGATAAGTTGCGACTATTAACTGACAAATGATAGAAGGAATTACTTATGGTTTTCCTTATTATAACTGACGACTATGAATGAGGCCCACGCGATCTGTGGCCGTTTTGAGAAAGTATTGCTGCTGTCGCTGTTGCATTCACCTGATATTGATCCGAGACACCACGGAAAATTACCGATAAGAGCAGACATCCGCTAGAATTCTCCTATAGACTGTGGCTGAATTTGACATAGTCAAAAATTCATCCGTCAGGATTCGAATCTTAGGATAGTCGGTCAACTAACCATCTGATAACCACGTACTTAACAACCATGAGTAGAAACTAGAATCTTTGGTATTCGGCTCTAAGTTCTTAAACGTTGCTGTAAGGAAAAGTACGTAATTTTATTTAACAACTTACACGTGTTCGGATTACAGATACATCCGATTCTAAGTTACTTTTCTCTTTTTCGAAAATAATTATACGCTTTTAATTCCAAACTATCTGTTATGCTTACTTATTAGGATATCTGTTACAATCCTTTTTGCAATCCAAACACTCTAACATATTTTCTTTTATTCCTATATCCAATTATTCATTTGCATTCTTTTTCCTGAATCATCACATACCTCTTTCACCTTTTCTTATTCTTTTCTCTTCTTGTTTTCTCTCTTCTTTTATGTATCTCTTAATTACAATTTAAAATGTCTCTCTTCTCTCCAAAACTTTCCACATATATTAGTCTGAATAATTGTCGGTGTTTAGTTGTAGTCTTCAGTTTGTAAAGACGTTGGTTAAATTTAGGGCTGATCTGTAAGTAGTAGTGTTGTATATATATATGTTGGAAACGGTTTGCGATATTGTAGTTGCAAATCCGCAATTCTTCGAAGTCTGGGCAGTCCCAATTTAGGAATGCGGTTCAAAAAATATTCAAGAGGCTTGGACGAATGATGTCTGTAAGAAGGGGCAGTAAAATTGTAGAGAACAGCCACTGGGAGACAGACAAAAATGTAAAAAAGTTCAGGTACGAACGATATTAAAAGGTCTTTTCACGGCATATTAATAGGACGGCCTTTAATCTTTCCACTTAATTTTCATTTTAATTTAAAGTATACCGATTTTAAATCTACGTAAAGCTACTTAAGTTGATAATAATCTGATGATATTGCAGGAAAAATCTTTTCATGCCGAAAGATATCGACTTGTAAAAATTAGGTCTTCTTAATTCCAAATGTATGAACTGTTCTCAGATAATAAGATTCCACTATTGTTTTTCATAAACTACGAGAGAGATGCACATTTTTCCTTTCTAAACCTTAACAAACGGGAGTGGCTTATGTCATTGTGTGGCTCATGTCATGTCAATGTATCTTATATAATTTTGCTATGTAAGCACCTATATAATACAAAGTCATTACACATTTCAGTATTCACTTTGAATCGCTCATTTTACATTTTTGAAATGTTATTTTGTCGAATTACGCATTGACAAACAATGGCTTCGAATTTAATCTTAATGTGAAAAATATATTTTATCACTCATAGAAAAGCATTTTGATATGTATCTCATTTTCCGTTCTCAAGTTAAATATTTATTCTTCTTTGTGCATTTACTTGACAACATATACACATTAAATGTATTAAAAGTTTGTTAAATATATTGTAACAATTCATTTACTTATATTTAGGAAACTTTTTAACAATTATTTTTTTACAGAATTACCTAAATTTTCGTCACCAGTTGTCATAGTCAATGTTCTTAACCTCTAAAATCTTTCGTGAATCCATCTATTCAATCATCCACCTATTCAATCAATCATTTCAATCATATTTCTCATTTTCGTCATGCCAAAGATACCCAGACCGTTATTATCTTCGGCTTTCGTCGTTCGGTCATTGGTTTCACCCCTAACTAACTCGTTGCAGCCTCACGCGAATCGATGCCCGCCACAGCTCGCTGTCGTTTCCGCGCCCTGCACGTTCTGCGATTCCCGAAAATTAGCCCCGGCCGAATTAAAAGCCCCGCCTCTTCCCTTGGCGGCGCGCCGTCGTGACGTCACTCCATCACGCAGCTGTCAGCCCGCCGACCGCCCCGAAGGGTGAACGGAGGGTGAACGGAGCGCGAGCGGAGGGCGTGACGGGTCGCTCTGTTCCAAAGCCACCCCCGCGCGTAAGGGCGTAAGCGGATGAGCCAGGCAGCGGTGGCGAGTGAATAGACCAGCGCGAGGAGTCGCTTACAGGTTGAACGCGTCGCCGGCAGAGGCCGCGGCGGCCAACGGGGAGGGAAAGGGGGTCGAGGTTGCGAGTGGAGCGGTGGAACGGCGATCAGGATGGACAGAAGTGATGGACAGACGAACCGCACTTACAATAATAAAATTATTATTATTATTATTATTATTATTATTATTATTATTATTATTATTATTATTATTATTATTAATATTATGATTACCATTATTATTATTATCATTATCATCATCATCATTATTATCATTATTATTATTAATATAAAAGTGGTAAGAATAGACCAGATATTGTTCTGTTTGATAAAATATCTAAAACATCATGCTCATTGATGTTGCGGTCCGTACAGACGACAGGCTTGTAACAACTGTTGCTGAGAAAAAGAGGAAATACCAACCTCTGGTTGTTGAATTCAAGAACATGTTTGGATTGCGCACAGTAGAAGTGCTTGTAGGGGTGGGCTCTGCGAATGGATTGGTCACCAAGGAATGGCAAGAGATCCCAAATGAATTGAAACTAACTGAGATGCATTTGCGGACCATTCAGAAAGCTGCATCATTGGGAACAGCAAATGTAGTCCGTAAATTCTTAATCTTGAACTGACGAATATCAAAAACCCAATATATCTCTTGTTGCCTTGGGTGAACTAAAACACCGGCATGAGTGTATATATACAGGAAATAATAATAATAATAATAATAATAATAATAATAATAATAATAATAATAATACGGACGGGGGTATGGGGCTTTGTTTCTCAGTATTTATGCAAGAATTTGTCTTAACTCCCACGCAATCCAAAAGACCGAAAGTGCAAGGCTTCCCCTTTATTGGGATATTCCTCAACATTTATACCTAATATCTTCAGATGATAACGATGTCAATAATACCGCTCATAATTTATGTATGTGATTGTCCAGTAACACATTGAATCTTCCGTTTTACTGTAAGTTAAGTTTTGATTGACCAAAATAATACGTCACACATATTTACCCAGAGATATCGTCAGCAAGTAAAAAAAAAGTTGAAAAAGGAAACCCTCTCAAAATAAAAAAAATCATTAAAGAGTGTTTAGAAGATTAGAATACGTACAAATATTGCAAAAATAAAATGATATCTTCGTGTAATAACCTATTATTTGAAAATTGATATGAGACAACAAAATTAGATAAAGAAGTGTAATGAAGTTGATAATAAATCAGACAATTTCAGTATTGGCATTATAAATGTTTTGAGCAAGTGGAAATTAAATTAAGAAGAACTTACTACACATTGTGTATTTTTGTTTAGTGGGATTTGTTTTGCGAATGTTTTGTAATTGAAGTTTTTACATTAAAGTTTTTATGAAGAGAAATATTCACTGCGAAGTCTCAAATGGAGCGGAGACGAGGTGAGGCACGGCCTTAGTGCCTGCATGCGTTCCGGTCGGAGTGGTGATAGTGATAGTGGTAGCAGTGAGGCAGATGTGAGAAAGAGATCGGAGGGTCTACAGCGAAGTTGATGTGGGAGGGCGGTCATAAGACAAAGGAGTAGAGGCGGCTCGGCCGGATACTTGGAGGGAAACGTGCCTTGCAGATGAGGCACCTCCCCTAGCAGGCTGCAATTGTGTGGGGCGACCGGGGAAGCGAGAGGCCGAAGGCGAGCTCGCAGTGGGCAGGGAGACGGACATGTGATCTGGTGCGCGTGAACGAGAAGAAGAACTGCTTTGCACGATGGACGCGTTGCAGAAGGGGGTGCAGTGGGGAAGAAAAGGGTGTATTAAAAGAGTCGAGTTGCCTGGAGGGGAGGGTGAACCAGAAGCGAAGCCGATGATGATGGAAGATGGAATGGATGAGGCGCTTTCAGGCTTGATCTCTCACTGTGTAGATACCATGGGGAGGAGGACTAGGAATAAACATCACTGAGGGAGCGGAAGTGTATTGAATGGAAGACCAAGATAAATGAAATGATCTTCTAGCGAAGATGGGTAAGATGTCTGGAATAATGTTTTGCGCAGGAAGAAATGAGCGGGGAACAAGGAAGAGAGATTTCGACTGAGATAAGTTACGGAAACGAAAAATGGGAAGAATTGGAGGAAAGCAAATCAAATACCAGTTTGGGGTAGTATAAAGATTTGACGAAATAATGAGGAGGAGGAATACGACAGTAGAAATATTGAGGGAAGAGAGGGAATCTTGTACTTTGATTGAACAGGCAAGATAATAGATAACCTTAAGTTTGCGAGAAGGGAAGAGGAAGTAAAAGAGACGGAAGGAGAAATCGGATGCACAAAAAATATTAGAAATTTTAGGGTCTATTGAAACTCAAACTACATAAAAATAACCCGGAAGTGAATAAAGAGAAATTTGCGAGGTCAGACGGAATAGCAGACCTCTTTGCCTCAATCTCGCCACGTAAAATAAGGCATCATTTCAATTTAATATTTGGAAAAGTAATGAGAAGTAGTGTGTGAGTCAGAGATATAGCGAAAAAGAAGATAAAAGAAAGAGAGAGACTGCAGTCTATAGGAAGAAACGTCGCAATAGCAAAGATGTGGAACGGAGAATTAAAAGGCAAAGAAAGCGGCGAGTGCGAGGAGGTGGAGAGGCAGAGCGAGTGGTCGAGCGCAGGCTCGCGGGGCCAGCAGGGGC